TAATTAAACGTGTAATTATAGCTTAAGAATTATAAATTGTGGTATACGATTGCACGGTAAAATTGCTTATTTTTTTCAAATTTCGGACCCCTAAGCATTTTCCTCAGGTGCCTAGTGGGTATGGGGTTCTCAAAGGGGGAAAATAGGGCACTTGTCTCTCTTTGGGATCGAGTAAAAATTCCATAGATTATAACCATAGAAGTGATCGAGATGTTTAACCTTACACCCTAGACCACGTGGCACTTTATCTGCCCAAAAACCTTCAAAAAATTAAATAAAATTTTGCTCATTGGAATAATTTGTCTCCAAGCTTTTCTACAGAATCCCATACCAGTGATTAATTTGGCACTGGCCTACTGTTATCCTAGTGGATAACACCTCTGAAGAGATGTTTAAACCCTTTGAACCCACTGAAATTGGTCGTGGGTTCGTGTCCGACCAACGTGCTGGAGCATAAAATTGTGGGAGAGAGGATTAAAAACTCAATAAAATTTCGAAAATATTTATATAATCGTTAGCTATAGTAAACACTAGAAATCCATATTTATAAGGCACAGAACAGATTCTAGTTTACAGACTATACGTAAAGGCTATTTATCATAATATTAGGATATATAATAATTAAAATTTTATAACCTTATGCAATTAGGTGTTAGACATTTAAATAGGGCAAAAAATTACGTTAAAAAAGGCGTATTGTTATAAAGGGGGATTGTCAAAAGTTCGAATGTTACGTCAGCCGATCTATACTGTTTTAAAATACGTATTTTCTGGGTTATATATAAACTGTATAAGTCTCCTATTAAGATTACTTAACGTTGAAAAGAGGTATTTTAAACAAGTTAACCTTAATTATACACCACGTATCACACTGGGTGAAGTTCAGGGGAAACAAGAAAAAAAAATTATATAGGATGTACCGCAGGTCAACGTAACCCAGATTGTTTTATTCATGTTCATGACCAGATAGACAGGTCTTTATGATATTTGTACCATTCACTGGCCTATTTTTATCGAAAATTTATGACTAATACCCACTTTTCTACTCAAGAAATCGAACTCGTTATTTTGTTTTTTTTTCCCTTTATTTGCTATTTTACAGTAAAACCTGTTTAAAACGGAACGGCAAAATGTCCCGTTTTGGGAGGTTGTGTTTTTATTAGTTACAAAAGTTAGTTAACTATTTAAACACGAAATCGTCCATACAAATTTTGTAAAAGTACAGAATAAAATAAAACAATACATAAACGATGCTAAATTTCATACAAAAACTCGAGGTTAACTGACTTTTGAAGTATCCTCCAGTATAAATTTTTCATTGAAGTAAATTAATCTACGTTTACATTAATTCATTTGAAATCCTTTTTTATAAGTGTGTCAAATTAAGGAAATTTCGGGCCCTAGCGAAACTAGGAGGCCCGAATTAGCGAAGCTGCGAATGTTTACATTGTTTACTGTATACTTAACACATTTATTTATATATATTTGAATTCAAGAATCGATTTAAGGGCCTCTTGCCAGATCCGGGTTCTAGACAATTTCCCAGTTTGCTAAGGCCTATGTCTTACCTTCATCGCTTGAAGAATGTAGTAATACTGTACAGTACAGTACATAGAGAAGCGTTATACGAGAACGTCACTACTAAAAGCAATACACCGAGGAATAACTTACATATCAGATCTATATGTGCGTTATACAAAGATAAAAACACTCCATCGGCACTCCATATAGGCCCACACTCCATCAAATGAATTTAGTTGATTTCTGTCCCTCCTTTATACACTTGATAATGTCTAAATCGCACTCGTTAACGACCTAGGCCCCTAATTTAAGGGATCCAAATTAATTCCAGTTGACTCGACCCTTACATTATTACCACACACAATGCATACTTTAACCCCTATGACGAGATCAAATAATGTCTAAACAGTAAGAGAAAGACAGTTGTAGGGGGCCCCAGAAAATGTATCATTCCTGAAGGCCCCCCGAGACATATAAAGCCACGTACTGGTAGACGTGTACCCCGCTTAAAGTGCCACTGGATAAATATTTAATGGAAATTCTAACAAAATAAAAGTTACAAAACTCGACAAATAAATAAACAAACAAAAAGACGAAGGAAAGTGAAATTCAAACCCAATTAGTTTTAATTGGTTACACTTAAAAGTAATATGAGAAATTTCGAACCAATTAATGGAGTTCAGTAATACAACAATCTTCTGTTAAGTTTTTCAAAGGTTCGAACTACCTAACTGAAACGTGTTTCTTCCATATTGAGCCTCACACTTTATCTAATGAGCTCCCTATTTGTTTCTTTGTATAATGTAAGGGGCGGGGCCTCAAAATAAAACGTAGCAAACGGCCAGTCAAATACACGTATATCGGATGCGGGCCGTATTCAATATTATTCGGTAAACTAAAACATACTGTAATTTAGAAAAAGGCCCTTTAGTTGCCGGGCCTTTACGACTTAAATAAACAGTTAGACGTTTGAATTTTTTCTGTTTTAATCCCCGCAAGATGTTAGAAAGCTCGGAAATTTCACGTGACTAGCCCGTTGGCGAGGCTCGAACCCACGACGAGTTGGCCATGGGTTCCATCCTCAATGTTGGGAGGTTTTGTCACTCGCCCACTGGTGGGGTAGCTCCTATTTGAATTATATGTATTGTACCTTTTGTTTAAGTAAGAGGTTTTGGAATATTACAAAGAGAAAGCATTTAGTAGATGCAGAACACTTAAACAGCAGTTTTAAGATACTGATTTTTAAGTGTTCTGCATGTATACAACATAAGCAATAGGTTTTTGCAATAGGCCCACATACAGAACAATTTTCTACAGCTACTATACGTGAGCCTATTGGCCTATTGCATACTATATACCTGCTGTTGAAGTGTTTTATAATCTTCTGCGTAAATTACAATTTATAAAACTGATACAGTAGTAAACTCTTCCAGTTTTAAACTGTAATAAACTACGATAATACAGTACATAAAAATACTAGGCCATTCTAAAATTGATAGTAGAACCAGACTGAAGATTCATCGATTAGGAGCTCCTAACTGATCACTTAAACAGCAGTCTCACACACCTGCTGTTTAAGTGATCAGGAGCTCCTACATATACAGTACCTTCTGTTTAAGTAAGAAGTTTTGGCATATTACAAAGAGCATTTAACAATTAAGGATTATGAAATAACATAAATTAGAGAAAATATTCAGGAAATTTCTTACTAATTTTTATTTTTAAACTGTTTTATTTTTTAGGGAATATCCAGAAATAGTTACAAATCGTACCGCTAGATGGTGCGAAATGTATTAGAGTAAGAATTTTTTTTATTTTCAATTGTTTTTTTTACGTATAAAAAATTAAATTATAACAAGAAGAATGTTTATTATAATGTATTCGTATTTAATATAAAATTTAAAAAATTTATTTTATGCATTATATGGGCGGCGTGATGCACATTAGTGGCTACCCCCCTCAACTTCCGGTTGACCCCAGCATGGTCCTTTTAGGCCTCCTCATACCGGTCAGTTGTATATGTAAATACACACTATAGATCCATATAACGTATACTGTATATTGTATCTATGAGTGTACAGTACAACTCTTATGCTTCACTTATATGGTGGCTCCGGCTAGAATCTATCCTGTTTTAAAAATAACCTATCCAAAACGGAATATATATTCGGTAGAGTCCGTTTTACACAGGTTTCACTGCAAGTTACTAGATATGCACTATTTAATATATGTAAGTTAAACACAGTATTGTTGCATGACTGAGTGTTGAGTCGTTTCTTGTATGAAGGAAGAGTTTAGTTACCGAATAAACAATCGATTTATTGTCGAGCGAACAATAACAAAGGAAGAAACAATATAGCATTATTTATTTACTTAAAAAAAAATAAATTTTTTCGTGTTTGTTTGTTTATTTTTTTCTCTAGGATCTGTTAAAGATAGCCAGACTGAATTAACTGGAGCAATTGTTACTCGAATCTTCTTGAAAAAAGGCCAAAGAACAGGGGAGATAATTACGAATATTTCGGCATTATCTAGTTCAGGGACGTAAACAATAACTAGTGTCTTTGTGTTAAGTGAGGATTTCGAAGTTGAAAGACTTGCCGATTTGTTCTGCATTCTGTACAATTTTACGTGTTTCAAGATTCTTGATGTGATCTGTAGTCGGTAGCTAACTGATCCCTTTCTTTTTTAAAGAGAGAGAATCGGCTTAACTCTTTAAAGGAATCTAAATGAATTAAAGAGAGAGAGAGAGAGAGAGAGATCAGTCCTGTAAGTGACCTTTATCCCTAAAGGGGGAAGTCAGTTAAAGTATTGATCGCTTGTTTAAGCAGAATTAAGGGGATATTTTCATTAAAAAACTTGTTAAAGAACTGGTTTACCATTTAAGCAGAGTTAAATTAAAGGAGTGATTTCTCCCCTTAAAGGAAAAGATCAGTCCCCTAACTCTAGTTTAAGAGAAGCTCTGTTCCTGAATTCAGCTTAAAGGAGGAAGATCAGTCCCTCAACTGTGCTTAAAGGGGAGATCATTCTCTCAACTCTGCGTAAAGGGGAAAGAAATCAATCCTTCAACTCTGCTTAAAAGACTGATCTCTCCTTTAAGCAGAGTTAAAAGACTGATCTCTATTTTAAAGGAAGCTTAATCACAACTTTTTATATAAAACCGATTATCTATTTTTCAATTAAATAGCATATTAATTAATTGTTAAAATGTCAAAATAAACAATCTTTAGCATTATAATTTAATCTTTTGTTTTCTTTTCTTTTATATATTAATAAATTCGAATACATTTTAAAGAAAATACTCTTTAAAACGTTTCGATATAGCCTACAGGTTAGCCCAAAATTCAATTAACCACGTTCCTGTGTGTTTCAGATATAATCACAAACAAAGTACCTTTTCACAAAATTAACGAAGTTTAAGCCATTTGGTCAACTGATTTCTGGACCACCCAGTACAATAATTACAAAGACTACAGAGATTTGATAATTGCAATTTATTTCCGTCAGAAAATAAAAATACATTGATTTACAATTCTTTTCAAACAGGGAAGAACAGGAAGAGAGAATAGAAGAGAGTGTGTGTGAGAGCGAGAGAGAGAGAGAGAGAGAGAGAGTCAGAGTTTAGAGAAAAAGAGCGAGAGAGAGAGAACAAAAAAAAAATCCATTTTAGGGATCTCGAATTTAGGATAAGGAGATTTTTTCTTAATTTTTTATTGGTTTTTTTTTATTTTGTTTTATAGGCAAAGTACGGATCCTCCAGATCCGGAACTATGTACAACATGAAATCAAATATCGTTCGACATATTTCTTCATTAATCCCAACGGGTGATGATCTCCATCTTTCTCGATACCAGGTTTGTATTTTCGCTTCGTATAAACCACACGCGGGCCATAGATCTCAAGCGGAAAATACCATTTTTCTTGTTTTATTTTTTTTTATGTCTTCTAATGGAATGGAGTCCATTTTTTTCTTTTAAATCGTTATTTTTTCTTCATTTCATGGAGGCCGGACTTCATCAAGTACGGATCTTGCTGCGGAGTCGAAATCAAAGATGTCCCAAGTCCAGGGCGTGATGGAGAGCAGCTAAATCGGAATGACCACTGATGCGCCAAAATGGAAAGTTCAGCTAAGTAAATACACAAAAAAAAAATATATATATATATATATATATATAGACTATATTATATAATTATATATATACATTAAAATACACGATATGTTTAGATATGTTCTTACTGTACACTTCTTAATCGGTGCTATCTAAAAAGAGACACATGTCTAGAAATTGTATAGTTAATGGGGCGGAGAAACCATCGTTTCGCCATGTTTCTGCAATTTAGAGGGTCATTACATAAAAATTGTACATCTTCTCCCGTTACAGTCAGATAGGCGACGTGATAAATTAGTTGTACTCGTTATCTCTGCTAAAAATCATTAATTTAAATGTGAGCAAAACACCAAAAGAAAGATTTAAGCTCTGGTTTGTCCTGTACGAGCCATTTTTAACGAATTGTGAGGCTCTTCTGTGGAGTTTAAAGCCTCATAACCGCTAAAAAACAATCTAGCGAGTTGCCTAACTTTCCCAGCAGGAGTTAAAATTGCGTGTGGCGCCATCTGTTGAGATTTTATTTTAAAAAACCTCATATCGTTAAATACTATAAAATGACAAGAAGCTTAATTTCGAGGATAGAGATGGGTTTAATTAAATATTACAAATGCTAATAATGAGTAAAATCATTAAGTTTAATTAAACTCGAAATACGACACGTGATCCCCTCTATCTCCTCACCTCATCGACCTTTAACCACCAAAATTTAATAGAATCGNCTAACTTTCCCAGCAGGAGTTAAAATTGCGTGTGGCGCCATCTGTTGAGATTTTATTTAAAAAACCTTATATCGTTAAATACTATAAAATGGCAAGAAGCTTAATTTCGAGGATAGAGATGGGTTTAATTAAATATTACAAATGCTAATAATGAGTAAAATCATTAAGTCCAATTAAACTCGAAATACGACACGTGATCCCCTCTATCTCCTCACCTCATCGACCTTTAACCACCAAAATTTAATAGAATCGATGCCCCCAATACACAAACCTCCCTGCAAAATTTCAGTAATTTTCGACAAGGGGCACAGGAGTTATTGAGCTTCAAACTGGGTGAAAAAACCGTGATAAAGGGGGGAAAAACTCCGAATTTTTTTGTATTTCTCGAGGTTTCAAGGTCCCATGTCCAAAAATCTTGGGAGCCATATTTTTCTTCTGTTATATATACAGCCTGGAAAGTAAAAAAGGGGGGAGATCGTAAAGTAAATTAACTATACACCACCCCAGTTAGGTATAGAAGCGATACAGTTTCACAATTAATCTATGGAATTTTACCTTTCGTAATATACAGTATAAATTATAAAATTAATGATTTGTCTTAAAATAAGAACAGTACATCAACACGTCTTCAACGCATTCATTCACAATAAGAACACAACAGCTGACCCTGTTAACCTCTTTAAAAATGTCATTTAAAGTTTATTTTTCTAAAAACAAACTTAATTATCATTAAAATAGTTGTTTAAATAATGATGATAATATATATATTTTTTTATTTTTAAATAATTGAAATGTTTACATCAATCATTCCTCTAGTGTTTATTATTTCTTATTCTCCCCCCCACCAAACTATCATCTATTTTGAAATTATTCCATGTTTATTCTAAGATATCGATCGTTCCTATTTATAAAATACATTGAATTTGTAAATATTTAAAGATTTAAAGTTTATTTTTAGCAAAAAAATATTATATAATACCTTTGTTTTTTATGTGTTTAAAACATAAACTAACCTGTTTAGCAGCCGTCTCTTCATCCCTTCCATCTCCAACGACTACATAGGTACATTTCCTACCAAATCTTGAAATTATCCGCTCGAAACAGCTTTCTTTACCTGTAAAAAAAGTGGAGAGAGGGATAGAAAAATAGGATTTTTAACAAGAGAAAGTGTTAAGGGAGATAAAAAAAAAACATTACCTATTTTAGTTGCGCTGTACATATTTTCGATTGGAAAGACCCCTCCTAGACCGTAAAGTAGTACTTTAGCTAGCGCAGGGACCAATTGGGTCGTCGTTACTAGTACACTAACACAGTTCGACCTGAAATATTCGAAAATATTCCTTCTCGTATAATTTACAACTACATCTTTACAACTTCCTCTCCCCTTAAAGTCGATAATTGTTAGAATAACACTAATAATTTAGCTTTGATTGCCGTGAAATATCATCTGGCAATCCATTAAAAGACATAAAAAAAAAAAGAAAAGAAGCGCGAGAGGGTATAGAGGACCACACAGGAACAGATAAAAAGTTTAAGAAAAAAAAAAAAGAAACTAAATAAAATAGGGGACGAAGAATCCTTGCCTGGAATGAATGATGGACAAACACTTCAAAGCTAATGTCAACCAGCTATCCGTCAAAGTTTCAATTTCTGAACGCAGATGGAGCCACTGTTCTCTTTTGGCCGGTCCCAGTAGACCTGTAACGATAGATGACGATTGGTTGACGTCACAAAGGGGTCGAGCGAATGCACGAGCGCTCTTTTTTTCACGCCCTCTCTCTCTCTCTCACTCTCCCCCTTACCTCCGACGTTGTTACGATACTGATTATATATTTCCTTGATTCTTCTGTATCTGAAAGCCAGCTTCCTCATCCAATCCACTCCTCCTCTTACTCCTGTGGCCAGGCATAGGCTTGCGTTACTGGCTGCTGCGTGAAATCCATCCGCTTGGAAATTGTAACTGCTACAAAAATAGTCCCACCAACTGTTATGATTATACTGAGCTGAATTGAATTCCTCTTCTTTTTTTTAAATTAAATTAAATAAATAAATAAATAAAAGTAACACTGGAAAATTTCACGAAATCCCTCCCCCCTAAATTATGGTAATTCACGGTGACGTTTCGTACCTGAGGTCCTGTCCGTTGTCGTCAGAAGATACGTCATCGATGTGTACTTGGTCGCACTCCTAGAGAAAAGAAATTCGTTTTTTTTTTTTTTATCTGTGGATTTTTCATTAAATTTTAAATAGTGAAATTTTAATATTTACAAAATGGCCGACCTCAAGATCGTTGAAGAAGAAATGCGTGTCTGCCAGATTAAAGATCATCTCCTCCATTCTTAAACCTAGTGAAACGGATGCTGGAGCATCCTAGAAAAGGAAAATAGCAATTAATTATTACAATTTTCTTACATTTTTATGAAAAAAATGTTATAAAAAATGACTGTAAGATCATCTGAAAGAACAGCTTGAGATATGTGTGTGGTGTGTCTGTCTTGAGACACTTTACTATAATTTAAGCTGCTCCCCAGACTGGAGCATCCTTTATGTTGAAATTTTGAGAATTATATTGATATTTAATTTGAAAATGAATTTAAAATGATGCTTCGAGTATTGGGAGAAACGTTAGGATTATATGAGGTTTAGTGCTAGGTTCAGTGCACTTAAAGACACTATTTTAGGATTATTTTTTGCTAAATTTTCCTAAAATTCTCCTTTTTTTTATTCCTAATTTTTAGAGGTAAGTAGGAGAAATTTGGAAGCATTAAAATATGGCTTAAAGAATGATGATGCTTCATCTGATAGAATACTCTCCTGTAGCTCTTTACTCAAAACATTAGGATTACACAAGGCTACATATAGTGCTTCTTGAGCTATAGAATGGTACTTAATGCTGTTGAAGAGTGCATATTACTCTTTATATATGACACTTTCTACATGCATCCTACTAAACTCGTGTTTTTTAAATAAAGATCTGAAGGGAAGTATCTTTCAGCTATCATCCTACAGATTACTACACAAAGAAATCGTTCCAAACCATTAAGAAGTAATGCATAGTATCTTAAAATATATATTTATATGTATGTAGTATGAATAAACTCGTTTATAACATTGTATCTCGGCCATTTTTTTCCAATTTTTAATGGCACTTATTTATAAAATGCCACATAAACTTCATAAAGATGACGTGGAAGCTTTTTCTATTAATTTTCTTTATCGAAAAAACAATTGAAATTGCCAATTGCCTATGAAAAGCAAAGTTAATTTTCGAATTGGAATTCAATTTAACCCATCATTTAACAGAAGAATCGAGGGAAAAAACTACTATTCAAATAAATCGATTGTTGAAAATCACGTAATGAGAAATGAGAAATTTCACAGAGTAGAGTACTTTGTGTAAGAGGAAATTCGAAAAACGCGTGATTGTCAGGTTGTACTGTACAAGTAGATTACTTCGTTTCTTTGTATCGAGATCAAGTGTCTCGAGTGTTAATAGAAATTTCTTATTCACGAGACTTTTGTGCTGATACTTATGCAAATTTCATCCTTTATTATGCAGTTCTTAAATCAAAGAAATAAAATAAATTTAATGAATAATAAAGTTAACCTTTATAAACAGAAAGAATCCTCTATTTTTTCGTATAGGAGCCACACTATAGGCTGAAAAGAGCAATATTCTTCATAAATTTAGAAGAGCCACACTTATTACAGGCAGAAAGGAGCAATACTCTTTATAAATTTAGAGGAGCCACACTTAATATAGGCAGAAAGGAGCATAAATTTAGAGGAGCCACACTTAATATAGAACTTTAGAGGAGTCACGCTTAATATGGACAGAAAGGAGCATAAATTTAGAGGAGCCACACTTAATATAGGCAGAAAGTAGCATAAATTTAGAGGAGCCACACTTAATATAGACAGAAGGGAGCATAAATTTAGAGGGGCCACACTTAATATAGGCAGAAAGGGGCATAAATTTAGAGGAGTCACGCTTAATATGGACAGAAAGGAGCATAAATTTAGAGGAGCCACACTTAATATAGACAGAAAGGAGCATAAATTTAGAGGGGCCACACTTAATATAGGCAGAAAGGGGCATAAATTTAGAGGAGTCACGCTTAATATAGACAGAAAGGAGCATAAATTTAGAGGGGCCACACTTAATATAGGCAGAAAGGAGCATAAATTTAGAGGAGCCACACTTAATACAGGCAGAAAGGAGCGTAAATTTAGAGGAGCCACACTCTTATAAACAAAGGAGCCATACTTTATTAAAACAGTGGCTTCTTACAGGTTAATAAACCAAAAAGAGGTATAATTTCCGTGAGCGATAGGAAATAATCAAACCTATTTACAATTAATCTATAGAGAAAAAAACAACTAATTTTACACAGAAAGTATTAAACGTATAACCGGAGTAAGCGATGCTTAAGCCAAAATTACAGGCGTCGGAATTTATGCCAAGTTAATTTGATAGAAAATCTCGTCGACGAGCACTCCTAACGATTAACTTTGATCAGGAATAGAATATTCTTCTAGTTAAGGAGCCAAAAATTTCGATAATTTAAAACGAATCATAAGGGGGGTATATGCGTGGACATTTCTTGAAGTAGGAAAAAACATGGAGGACGTGTGACTTGTAGAATATAATTACAAACAAACAAACGATTCAGTTGATACGGAAGAAGGAAAAATTACACGTGATCTTCATCTAATTTCAGCATCCGGATTAAATTATACATCAATATAATTCGAACCTTTACAGGGGGAGGGAGAAAAATATATTTGGAAAATTTAAGTGTATCCTGCAGCTTTAAATAATAATAATAATAATAATAATATACAGTTACTTTAGTGTATACGTATATTTTTTACTCTGTTTAATTGCCGAATTTTTTTAGCCCGGGATGGCCGTGGTTTCTATTTTCGACACCAGGGGGAGCGAAAGTGGCGTTAATTTCCGCCCGTACCTGCAGGAGAAGGGTGGTAATCGGAGACGTCGGTAATCTGATCTTTTTGGCCAAGCGGAGGTTGAACATTTATTTCTCGCTCACTCATCGATTTCAAAACCCTCCCCCGCCTAGTCACGTGATTGGAGCTAAGCAGGAATTGGTGGAAGTCCTTGGCATTCCCTACTTCTCCTCGCACGTAACGCAGAGAACACCAGCCTCGATGAACTTTCTCCATAAGAATAATAAAATATATATATATACGTGTAAAATTAATAAGTTTAGATCAGAATTTCTCGAATTTTTCTTCTAAATTTGACGTCATAAATGTAGGGGAGAGGAAAAAAAAAGATAATCGGGAGTTAAAGCATCACCCGCTCTAAAGGAAGGGAGAACAAAATGCAATTATTGCGGACAATGAAGACTTAACTACTGTGGATCAATACGAGCTTTAACGGCGGATTAAAAACGAAATAAAATGATTTTTTTATCCATTTTTTGATCCTTGTTAAAAGTCTACGTAAGGCTAACGAATGATAATAATAATAAAAGGAAGGGGAGATAGGGAGGAGAGAAATTCTTTCTTCTTTTCCATCGTTCGCTTTGGTTGAATTTCGACATCATCTCACCGGATTTACTGTCAATATCTGCATGCGGTACTTGAACAAATTACTTTTCTGGTTCCAGAGTAACTGGGCATCGATCCAGCCGAGGAGCGTCTACTTGATGGAACCCTTCTCCGATTTCAATCAATCAGATCTCTTGTTGGGCTCACAACAATGGAGAGACGACATCACCTAATAGCAAACATTGAATGTCTGTGGAAAGCTGTTAACCTCCGAGTAATTAATTTCGTTTTCTGGATAACAAGGGAAGAAAAATTAAAAAAAGAAGTAGGAAAAAAAAGAGGGGAGGAGAGAATGTGTATGCTGGAAGGGAGTATGCAACAACTCTCCTGTTTTGAACTACATTATTCATTAAACATTCTCGAGATCTCTCTTCGTTCTTCTGCTGGTGATGACGACATTTTTACGAATTGATTCTCGTGTTTCTAGGAATTAAAATGATAAATATACCGGTTGAGAAATTTCATTTTCTTTTGCATCTTCCATTCGTTTTCATTTCGTTATAAACGGGGCTTTTTAAAGGTTTGTTATAAAGAGGGAATGTAAGTAAACAGAGGTGATATTTCATTTAGTTTAGTTGCAAATTTATTTTCACTCACTCCAACAGATTCTAATTTTACCTTAACCCACCCCAATAGACTAATTTTACCTTAAATTTTGCCTTAAACTAAACCCAACGGACTAATTTTACCTTACATTTTCCTTAACTCACCCCAAAAGACTCATTTTTACTTTCCCTCACTCTAACAGATCGCCCTTTTAAGAGTAAAACTGTTGGGGATGAGGGGGAAGTAAAACTTTTCTTGCAAAATATACTGCAATTTGCACTTCTTATCTAAAATTTATACGGGAAAAAAGGTAAGAAATTACTGTATGGCTCGGGGTAAACAATAAGAAGAAGCACAAACTATTTACAGGATCATTTTTGATTCTATAAAGTAAGCACAGATGAATTTATGGGCACATAAGCTGTGTGGTATAAGCAACAAATAATCAATTATGCCTATAAATTAAGCTAAATAATGTACACAGGTTACTATACAAGTAATCAAGTTTAACTATATCTTGATTTACAATCCCATAATATGTACACATGCAGCTTATGGGATTATGAGCCGCTTATTTTATAGATAAAAATACTAAACTAACGGCTGAAGTTACCTATATAAGCCCATAAATGGCGTAAATGTAGATATTCCGCAGCCCAAAAGCCACACAGATTAGTTCACAAGCCCCTATTTTCCCCTATAAAACTTAGTGTATAGCCAGAGCCCCAGAGAGCGAATGGAAATCTGAAGGGAAGACCCATTTTGGGCTTTCCTTCAGAGTTCCTGCTATACAAATAACAGTGATATTGAGGTAGAAAATGTCAGAAAACGGACAGTTTTTAATTCTTCCCCTCTGATAGGCTCCTAAAGCTTGTGGTTATACACAGGCCCTACGACAGGAGCCTGTCGTAGGGCCTGTGTATAACCATACACACAAATGTTTCCCACACGAGAAGGGTATACAAAATACATTAAAATGATACAAAAACATAAGAAGTAGTAATTCAGTAAGCTTCTAATTTCTTACGCCTTCTCCTATTGGTCAGAAAATGAGTAAAAAACATATATAAAAAGATAAGGGAGTGGGCAAACTTTTCATTGTCGAAGGTCGCGCGGATCGCGTATCGCTTACGCCGTTCCGAAAAAAAGTAATGATTAATACGATTTTAATAAAGGAAAACAGGGATCAGTTACTTAGTTCACTTCTGATTGTGTGATACATAAATTAATTATAAAAAAATATATATATATGGAAGGAGGAAACTCCCTCCACTATTATCAGAGGGAGAAGCACAAGCAAAAGAGAATGAGTGAGTTACCTTTCCGTATCGAGTAGCGTAAGAACCTGTCAGGAGGGAATGGAAGATAATGATTGTTTCATCTAAATCCCAGATGAAAACTCGTTCCAAATTATTTTCTGGATCGGGAGATGGATTATTCTGTCTTCTACCCCGGCTTTTTCCGCACTTACTGCTACCTAAACCAAGAAAAATGGCGGTTTACATGGCAAACAACGAGAGAAACGTCCACAGAAAATAAAAAAAATTAAGATCTTAATTTAAAAAATTCTTCACTAAATCCGCAGGAATCCACCCGAGTGGATCTGCAAATCTATTTTAAAAAAAATTTCGAAAATAAACTGAGGAACGGTAAAGCCAAACGGATTCGGCGAGTTAATGACGATTAAATGGAATTTAATTGTAATTAAACTTGCCGATTATTACGTCACCTCTGCGGGAGTAACTTAATTGCATCATTTAGAAGGTGGAAAATGTCCGAATTTGAGAAAACAAAAGAGATTTTTTGAGCACCGAGTTAATTAAATAAAAACGAAATTAATCGATGATGTTAGATTAATTACGATCAAGATCTTAAATGTCATTAATTTAAGACGAAGACGAAAAATTAAGTGATAAAAACGACGGTTTTAATTATAATTTAATTTAAAATCGTCGATTAAATATAAAAAAAAAAAAAATTTAACGAAATTCATCTACAATCGCTTAATTGCAATTTAATTTTCAGCCTTCTAATTACAATTAGATTTAATTGCAATTAAATCGATTACAATTAAAAATTTACTCATTTTACGGCTTAATTAATATAAAACAATTGATTAACTTCTTTAATTTCCTTCTTTATTAATAATCTGTTTTTAATTGTAATTTAAGTTTTCGAATCTTTTAATTGTAATTAAATTCTTCTCCTTTTTTTTTAAATATATACATATTTTGAAATTCGACAGAAAAACAAAATTGTTAAAACGATATTTTAAATAGGTTAATGTATATTTAAAAATATTTATATTCCGTTATCAAATTTAAGGAAGACGCGTTTATGTTTAATGACGTTTAATGTTTATTAAAATTAATAACACGATTAATGCATAATAACTTAAATATTAAGGAAGGGAATTGACACAAATACTTTAAATTCGTCCAATTTTTTTTTTCGTCAACATCGCTGTTTGTAATGCAATTCTATCGGACGTTTTCACGTCCTTAATAGGATTTTTTAATGCGGTTTTTCTTAATTGTAATTAATTTAGGACGCGAATTATCTCTCTCGGCGTTTCTTAGAAGGGTTATTTTTTTAAATACAATTAGAAATTTTTAAAATATACAGCTCGTAAGCCGGGAATATCTTACCTTTTTTGGTCGTCCCATTCGCTGTATCGGGTTTAATAGGAGAAGAAGGATTAGTTTCGATCCCGTATTGGGGTACGTCTGTCGGTTCGAAGGTAGAAAATTCGTTAAAACGAAGTGATTTCGGCGCTAATTCGAGGTCGTTATGCTCTTACCTGATGTGGAACAAGGCGGGAGTTGAGCTAGTTGGTAAGTTGCGGACGTTGGCGAGGAGGCGAGACCCAACGTGGATGCATTATTAGCGGTGGGCACGTAGGCTCCGTAACCTTGGCTTGCATAATAAGGGTAACCAGTTTGACTATACCCCGTATACGAACTGTATTCGATGCCCTGGAGGCGGGTAACAGCAGAGTTAATCTAAAAAAGGATGCCACTCGCGCGACACGTGGAGTGGCACCCCCCACTCTTACCTGTTGAGGAGCGAATCCTTGGGAGTTGCCTGCACTCGATGTTAAACCGGAAGCTGGATAAGTACTACCTGCAGGTTTAAATCTAGCGTTACTCAGTGGTAATCTCGGTTAAACGGGTTGGGGGACGGAAAGAAGAAAGTTTTTACCGTATGAATAGGATCCTTGGCCGGTCTGGCTACTGCTTCCAGTACCAAATGCAGTACCGTAAGGATTTAGATAGGCTGTCTGGGATAAAGGGGTATTAGTTCCGGTTTTGTTTTGCTGGCTGATGCTTCGAGGCCCTGCTAAGAAAGACAGCCGGTGTCATGTTCATCGTTGCAGAAGAGGAAAATTGACAGAAAACTCATTCAGCTGTAGTGTTTCTATTAGGAGCTACTTTATCAGAGCACATCCACTTAATGTATCGAGAAGAAAAGAGCGTACCAACAATGAGAATTCGATATCCAAAACATACCTGTGACGTTGTACGATTGTGATAGGACTCCATAAGCTGCCGCCTGGCTTACTTGGGAATTGTAGAAACCTGCCCCCGTTTGCATGGAGTAAGCGGGACTTTGAGAACCTAACTGTGGATAAGCCTGCATGGGACTAGAGAATAGAAGAGAGGAAGAATTTTAATTAGACAAGGAGTTATAGGTGAGATATTCCCACTAAATTTTGCAATACCTGCTGTAGTAAGATGTGGAATACGAGTTTTGAAAGTCTATTGTTGCTTTTCCTGGGCTTAAATCACCTAAGGAACAATTAGTTTATGGTATATATTTTTAAAGAAAATACAGGATTATAACTTAAAGTCTTACCAGAGTAATTAGTTAACTGTTCCGTGGTGGGATAACCCGAATCCATGTGGCTGTTCTCTGTCAGGTGCTCGACTTTAACTGGAATAATTAAAAAGAAAAAACAATTCTCAGATCCAGAGGTTAGTTGCATTAATAATTGATAAAATGGCACTGACCTGATGAATCTGAATGGCACGCCCCCCACGCAGATGAGCTGCTGTAGGAGGGAGAATCACCCGGTGTCGCCATCGATCCTAGGACACCTGCCAAAAAATGACCATTAAATATCTATAAATGGTTCCCGAGTATGGTTAATTTAGTGCCTTGTTTACCATTTGGAGCCAGATTAGGAGGTAGTGTAGGCGAATCCGATGTTAAAGAGTGAGGAGACGTTTGTCCACTGTTCACTTGGTTATCGGGACTAGGGATGTTGGATGGTTGATTTTCTTGAGATCTATTGAGAATATACGCACTAATTAACGTTTAATCGAAGGATTTTCGTGTGTAAAAGCTATTAAAATGGTACAGATTTCGGGTGGAAACGGGGGGAACCTCGCTGTTTAAGATGGAGAAATGAATTTAAAATGCCAGAATTAGCACGGATTTGTTTATATGAAAGTTTACTTTCTCTCTTGTATAAAAGGCTCTCGAAGAATAATGGTATTATCGTATGTCAAAACTGTGTTATTTTTAACTATTAAATAAATAAGCCCAACCCTAAAGTAAAGTTCAAGATTTGTTACCTCTTCCACTCCTCTGTTTTATGCATCGAGTACATTAACGTGAGTTAAATTATAATTGAATTAGCAAAGGTAATGAAGGGGAAAAAAAGGGGAAATGTATTTCCCTGTTTCTTAAGTTTGCGAGAAACGGAATGAAGTTTCGCTGATGACACTACTTCGTTAGAACAGATCTCCATCTACATTTATCTTTAGTTAATTTGATTGTATTTAAAAGAAACTTCGAGTTAAAATTCCCTGTTGGTTAGGGAATTTTCACTCGAAAATCCCTAGCAGTTAAGTATTCAAAAGGCTTTTGATCTCTAAATCCCTAAGGATTAGAAATTCCAGCTAGGAATAGACAAGTTTTGAAGTTTCTAACTGGAAATCTCCAAAAGTTAAGGAGTTAAACTTTTTTTTTTTTTTAATTTAAAAACCTCTAAGGATTAGAGATTCAAAGCTAGAAAATTGTTTAAAAATTAGAGAACTTGGAGTTAAAATCCCTTAACAGTTAAGAGATCCGAGGAAATGAGGCAAAAATCTTTAACAGTTAGGGAAACAAAGATTTATTTGTGTTAAAAAATCCCCAAGAATTAGGGAAAAAAGAAAATTTACAGCAGAAATCTTTCAATTCCTAAAAATTTTACATAAAGATCTTGGATAAAATGGAGGATATAGGCAAACCAGAAAAACAAATTTATCTATTATAACGGATCACAATAATCTTTAATGAGTTTTAAAGCACACGACAATAATTATATAAAGGGAGGGAGGAGGAGGAGGAGGAGAAAAAAAAAGAGAACACTCAACATTTGCTCCCCATTACACCAACTAATCAGACCACAACGTATTAAACTAATTCCTAAACCGCCTACACAACGTAAGTCTACACCTCAAACAATTAATTCCTAAATATAGTCCGCATCCAATTAAGCTAGGATATTGTATATATTAGTCTAATTACTCCGAAGACAATTAATATCGATTTATGACGTTTCAAAAATGATATTTACTCTTCATAATGGAAACAAACACAATCCCTGTAAGCTATAAAAATGCATTTAGGGGGTGATAGATACGTTAAACTCTATAAGAAATTGGCAAAGAGAAGTCGTAACTTGTTCCTAAACATAGTATGATGTTGGTTAATGTGTCTTCACTTCATCGATCAAGCTTCGTCTCTTCACTTCTCTTGTTTTTTTTTTTATTATGATTTTTTTTAAACTTGTTCCTCTAGTTCTTGTGATGCTATACTTAATTGACAATCGCTTCTTTGTCAGCTCGACTTTGTCTCAATTCTCTCCATTAACCTTTGGCATTTCTCGCTTACGAGGAATATTTTTAAGAATCTCGACTATTCTATGACTTCTGATGACCTTTATGCTCCAGATTTTATTCATTCTTTCTCCAAAATTCGGCAATTACTCTCATTTCTACGTCCTAAATCTCACACACACACTCACTCTCTCTCTCTCTCTCTCTCTCTCTCTCTCTCTACATACCTCGCTTATAAGGAACATTTTAAAGAATTTCGTCTATCCTGCGACATCTGGATGACCTTTACTAAATTTACACACCATTTTTATAACCATTCTTCTATTCGAATTAATTAAATTCGGCAATTTAACGCCCGAAACCGGAGTTTCTAATCATCAACAGGAAGCTTACGGATAAACATGTTCATCTTTATTCTCATCAGAAGCAACTTAAAATAGTAAGGGTGACAACTTACACCCTCTTTAAATTGTTATACGAAGGGGAAAAGAAACGTTTTTTAAACTGGAAAATGTCGGTTTATAAATCATACAGACACGTTTATGATAAATAAAGGGGGTGCAAGGTACACGCTTTTTTTTATTTTTATTTTTTTTTATAAAAATCTATTTGTTTAATTTGGAGTGAAGCTGTAGTTAGTGCCAGTTTAGAGGGTTGACAGGTCTCTGCTGTCAATAGCAGATGCACGTCAAACTGTCAACGTTTCTTTCATCTGTTTAGTTGGACCTGTCACCTTCTTACAGTTAGACTCCGCATACCAACAGGCTGGTGACCATGTGTGAGCTCTAGTAATAGATATGATTGATCGTGAGGTAACTTCCTCTTCTTACATATCGAGAAAACTTATAATTCCGGTTCTGTACGGTTCTATCGATACTTAAGATCTTGTCTACATTTACAGCCAGGCTCTAGTGTTTTAAAAAAAGCCTTATTTTTAGCTGATTAAACGTTGCTAGTGACGGAAAAAAATTCATGTTAGAGCGTATTTTCAGCAGTTCTAGCTCTAAATTTCGGTTTTAAGATTGTTTCATTTGAAAATCATCTTAAAATTTAAAGGGTAGACTCTGAAAATTGCCTTCAAATTTGAGTTTAATTTTCAGAGAGTTTTCTTTAAAGCCTTAAAATTTAAGGTTACTCCACTGGAGAAACTTGAACCAAACGTTTAATAATGTAAAATGAAGCTTAAATTCTAAATCATCCCTCAAAAAAAAATCACAAAAACTCAATTAAATTCACACATAAAATACACTAGAAACACACAAATTAAGTGCTTAATATTGTCGAAAACATACGAAAAACTATGCTAACACTCCTCGAATACTTATCCGGACGTCAATATTCTAAAATATGCAGGAAAAAAATGAATCTAGGAAGCATAGGAATCAGAAAAATAATGAATCCACGAGTCTCCGAAGTGATTCAGATGATAGCGATTTCTAATGGGAGTTCATATTCACACCACATTTAACACATTGAACAGGAGCTGGAGTGGAATACCTCTATTCAATGAATGAGGATTTTAATCAATTTTTAAGCCTCTAAAAATATATTTTTTAAGTAAATTAAGTTAGAAAAAAAGGGTGTTATTCTAGATCGTGGCATGATCAATTTTTTTTTTATGTCATCAAGACTGTCACGTGCCTCGCCATAAGGTACTTATCACATTAAACTTTTTTCCCTTCTTCCCTCCCCTTTAATCAAGATCAGCGATTCTTTATGTTAATAGTAAACAAGTTTGATGTTATTGCTGAATCATTTCTAGTTTTTTTACATGATTTTTTCATATAATTCTGTACAAAATGAGCTTATTATAATGTTAAACTATAGGTTGCTGCTGCTTGCAGGGAGGTTTAGAAGGCTGATAAATTATTAACCCGTTTGATAAGTCATTTCTTTTTTTTTTGTAATTAGAGGAGTGTTTTTAATCACAAATTCTTACTCCCTTTTTTTTTCTACATCTATAATTAAATTTAAACCGTAGAAAGTACGGTTTAATTAACGTGAAAATTCAATATTTCCTGCTGGCTTCCAGAACGAGTTGTAAACAAACTAGGCTTTAAAATTGCATAACAGTTAAGTAAATGCGTAAATTATTATTTCGGTGGATTTAGGAAGGCGTAAATTTGCCAAAATTCGAGAATTAATTGATCTTTTTTCGTAAATTTAGCTGCGAAGTAGCCCTGTAAACTGCTTGACGGATATCCGAGATGATGATAAATATGGCGAAGACGTACGAAATGATGAGTGTGAGAGTGCGAGAGAGAGACAGGAAATGGTTGTTTTATAGGGGAATTACATTTAAAAAATACTAAAATTTTAGTAGATTTTAGTAGAAAAGTCAAAATTCTACTCCAGGAAATACAAAAACCTAAACAGCACCGAAACATCATTAAGAAGTGACGTTCAAAGCTTTGATAAATTCGGTAATTACGGGAAAACTGTAGGGAAATTTCTGTTTTTCTTAAAAAAAATATAGCGTAATTAAATGCTTAAAGTAATAAATAACGAGTTTTAATTATTATTTTTTAAATTAGTTTTAATTAAATAAAGTAAATCTTACCTCAAAGATCGACCGAAGAGTATGCGACTTTTCTACCTTTACAACGAATTAAATTTTCATAAAATACTCAAGAGTACAATAGTTTTTGTCGAGGAATACAATTAAATAATTTAATTCTGTTTATATTATTAGCAAATGATGACTAGAATCGTACTCATTTAAATTTTCAATTAATGCATTGTGCCATTTCTCTGAATTTCTTTACCTCTACATTACCCATTCAATTCGCCATTTGTTCGACTTAATTTAATAATAACTTTAAAATTTAAAAAAAAATCTTTAATTAATTTAGAAAAGTAATAACATTTTAATGTATAAATTTTAAATTTAATTAATTTTTTTTTTAATTGTCATTACGATTTTCTGACTCAGAGTAGAGGTAGAAGTTAACGCGGCAGGGACGTAGACATATGAAAATGTAGGCTGGAACCAATTGAAAAAATCAAAATTAGTGCTCGGTCTCTACTTTTGGCAGTTGGCATGTGGTCCATATCAACGTCACGCAAGACACAAAACGCAAAAACGGATACTTAAACGAACACTACAAGTTCCAGACTCGAGTTGGATGCGAAAAAAATAAAAAAATAAAAATAAAACGAAGTGTCAGCGCGGAAAACATAACGAAGATGGGAAAAAAACCAAGTGACAGTGAGGAAAACATAACGAAGATACGAAAAAAAATGAAGTTTGTATGAGGAAAATACAGCGAAGATGCAAAAAAAAAATGAATGAGGAAAGCACAGCGAAGTTTAGAAAAATAATGAAATTTATGTGAGGAAAACATAAGGAAAACCCGAAAAAATGAAGTGTGAATGAGGAAAACACAGCAAAGTTGAGAAAAAATGAAGTGTGAGTGAGGAAAACATAAGGAAAATCCGAAAAAAAACGAAGTGTCAGAGCGGAAAATATAACGATGATGGGGAAAAATGAAAAAAAAAAAAAAAATGCAACTCGTGCCACTTACCAGAAGTTTTCGTGCGATTTCTTCTGCATTTTTTATTTATTTTTTTGCGTAATTTACCGCTCGCAACTTAAAAACTTAACCATTTACGTATGTCGCGTTAAGTATCGAAGGAAGAATTTTGCCATTTCAATTTGTAGAAAGCGCAACGCACTGGAATAACTGTAAGAGGAGATGGAGGTGCAAAGCATGATTAGAAAGACGGAAGCGAAGACCCGCCATCTGTCAACTCCATATCTCTCGATGTGCGGTCACAACTAATGAGCAGCAGTGGGACCGACTGACTTCTTCCAGTTAATAACGCATAAGCAGCACGCTTTATACGCATTAATATCCATTATAAGAGGGTAAAAAAAATAAAATATATATTAAAAAAATCCTCTCGCAGTGTCGAATTTTTTAACGATTTTCAACGTGTTCCAAGCACACGTAATTTTAAGGTGGAGGGAGGGAGGGAGGGAGGGACTTTGATCTCTGGTGTTGTTACGTTTTGAATCCGCACTTGACATTGGTGGAGTTTTATAACATTTTCGGGTGACAAACAAGTCGGAATCTGTATCGAGCGCAGCGTTGTATATGTAGGCGACCTTCTTGTGTTTCAGTTTGTATACAGAGATCCGAAAATAGTGTCATTGCACACCCGGTGGTTTTGTTGCGTCGGTATGAATATTTAAAACGGCTCTAATCAAAATATTTTTTAATAATTCGTAAACTTCCTGTTTCTAAATCGTTTTGAGGTTTCGAACTTTGATGTAAACTATCCTCGTTTGACGTTTTTTTCCTATAATTGCAACGGATACTACGCTGTAAATTCCACGCCTACGCCGTCTTAAGCTCGTGTAAATCGTTAAAACGGGGTTTAACCTACTCGAAAACTTGTCAATTTTAACGTATCTGTGTTAATATACGTAGGCCTATATATTGTCTGTAGTAAATTGAATTACGGACAGACACGTAAACTGCTGCGTTATACATAATTATAGTTACAATTACAGGCTGGTAGACTAATCTCTATGATATAATACAGCTATAAGTATCTATATTTTACTTAAATATAAGCTACACCCACATAATATAATAGCCTACGAGTCAGTCTGTACATAAGTCTGTACAGATCTACAGACAGGTGAGCTCTGATATGTGATAATAGATTCTACGAGTCTATATATTCTGTCTGTTAATCTAATGACTACAGACCTGTTTTCATATTATTAATTGTTAATGGCTTACATCTCTAGAAAACTGAACTGTATATTAATACAATACATGTATGTGTATAGAGTTTACAGGAAAAAATACATTAGTACAATTCCTACAAAGCTCTGTTGTGTCTGGTGTAATGTATAAACTGTAGAATAGAACCAATGAACGTGATATAGGGTCATGATCTATATATAGATGCATAGAATTTTGTTTTAGGCTATATTATAATATAGCCTGACCTTATAGATCAATCCATAGACTCATAGGCTCGGGTTTAGTCTATGGGTTATGGGCCAGAATTATATGATATGTATTTTACAGGCTCACGGGTATTTAGTCCGTGAGCCTGTTTAGTCGTTAAGACCTAATTAAATTCACTGAATTCCCTTAAAAATCCAACAAAATCCCATTTTCGATAAACAAATTAAAAGAATTCGATAGGCGATTAACTCGAAATTCACTTTCACCGTTTAAAAAAAAACCACATACAAATAGAATAAAACGGCATAAACACACTACTACCGACACGACACAATAATTATGCAAATTCGGCGAAGAGCGCGCTTTAAAACACTTTTAAAATTGAATTTGTAGCTCTAATGGGCCATTAACAATCGAAGAATCGAGTAAGAGGGATGCATTTTAAAATCAATATTAAAAAAAAAATAGGGAAAAATTCACTTATTTCTTCTTTTTTTTACGTTCGAGAGTTCGATCAACTTCATTTTTTCTTTAATAAATGCGCGTGTAGGAGTTAAGGGAGGAGGAAAAACTAAGTAAAAACTCAATTATTGGAAGTAATCGTTTGAAATGTGACCAGATAATCCGTAAAATTCAGCTTTTTTTTTTTTTTTAAGGGGGAAAAATAATAATAATAATATAAAAAAAAAAAAAAATGATCACAAGGTCCAGCAGCAACTGTTTAGTGTACGAGTAACTGGATCCTGTAAAGTTGCTTTGAATGGATTTGGCCATCCCCACTTAACTGATTTAGTTAAACTCTCTTCACAACTTTAGGGGGGATTAATATAAGTACTTAAAACCTTATTTTCTATCGGATTATAAGAGAAAATTTCCTAGAATATGAAGAATTTCTACACTAAGAAAAAAAATATCCCTTCTTATAAATCGAATAAATCTATTATTTTGGTTAGGAATTTCAGTCTTAAGGGATGGAATTTCCTTACGTGATTGGTGTTGTCTGATTCGTTTCCTGATCTGCTTCGTGTCTTGATCTTTTTACCTAGAAGTAAATTAAATTTTTTTAAGTAAATTATGATTAAAAATTCCTTGTTTTTTTTAATGGTTAGGAGCGTGATTTAATTAAAAGAAGCTACCCAAAAAAATGGGTTTAAATTTGTATACAAAATAATAAAAATAAATAAAATTAACTGAATAATTTTAAGTTTTATTTAAAATTTGATATGTTTTCTTTAATTTCTATACATTTTTTATGTATATATTTAGTTATTTATTAAAAATTCGTTAAAAAATCTATCTATACTACCAACACATTTCTAAGGTATTAAACTGTAAAATTAAGCTTTTAAATAGAAAAAATATGTAAAATTTATAATATAAAGAGCTTAATTTTATAAAATACTTCGTAAATAATTTATAATATATAATTTTTATATAATTATTTATNTACTCCATTACAAAAAATGAAAATTAAAACTAATTTAATTAATTTTAACATATTAAAAATTTATAAAATTATCAGAAATGAGGTTTTTTTTTAATAAACTAATTAATTTATAAACATATTTTCCCAATAATTAATCAGGATATGGGAAGAAAATCAAGGGTTATTTTCATCGAAAAAATTTAAGAATTGCAGCGAAAATAACGGAATAAACTCGATCCCTTTATGTTTATTTAACACTTTATAATGTTTAAAACGTAAAAAAATATAAATTTAATATATTTATTAAACAGAATTTCTATATTAAACGTATCCGTTTGCGACCCCTTTTCTCATAAGCTAGCTCGAAGAGTCAACAGGATTGTCACGAAACTCCTCTTGAGATTCCTTAATCCACTTGCAATTAAGTAATAGAGAGAGCAAACTAGTCTGTAAGTCTTTGGTAATTTGGATAGGACCCAATTGAATGGCCCGGGGATACAAAAATAAGGACAAGTTTGTCATTTTGAAACAACTCGACTGACACGTCTGACATCAGTCGGCTTATGTGGATGCCATATTTCAATTCTTCTTGCTCTTTTCTCCATCCACACACACACACATATATATATATATACAGACACACACACACACACACACACACACACACACACACACACACACACACACTGGAGGGATGGAAACAGGCATTTTCCTTTTGTTGTTTCCTTTCTGTCGAGGGGAATGATGATGGCGGAAGTCACGCTCTTTGCATCGACGACGTGGGAAATCAAACTTCTTCTATATAAACCCCGCACAGACGACAGAAATAGAGGGGATTAACTCCGCTTCACAACTGCGAAATGATGAGGAAGGCAAGAATGTTATGGGTTTTAAGCTAGATAAATAGGTCCTAGCGATTTAAAATTAGATTTTACATGCTTTTAATTGGTTTAGGAGTACGAAAAATACGAAGGGGTTATGCACCTTACGCAGCAGTTTTTGCTCATTTTAAACAATTCTATGAAACATATTATGGTTAAATTATTAAATAAATGCCCCCAAATGTATTAATAATATAATTTTCGTAATTTTTTAGCGGATAATTGAATATTTACTCGAGAAATTTGGAAAATTTTCAAGCCATAATAAGAAAAGGATGACACAGTTTCAATGTTAATCTTCGATCCGTGACCGGATTTAGACTTGTTATGGACATAAAGTATGAAATGTGAGGCCCTTCTCTTCTACCAAATCGTAATTGAGTTAAAAGCGTGAGGCCCCTTAACCATATTATTCTCACAATCTGTGTGGCCTTAACTTATCGAGCTTAAGTCATCTCTACTTCAATCGTTTTCAGAACTCAGAATGACTGGATCACTTGAAAAACGATCAAAATTACTTCAAAAAATGGGTCGAGCTCTCAAAAATGGTCAAAGATCGAGCATAAAAATGAAATTCTCTAAACACTGCATCAAAACTAAGCTAAAAAAAAAATAGCAACTAATTAATCCGTAAATCTCATACAAAAATTAACCCATATAAAACATAACATAGAATTTACTTCTACCCAAAAATTAGAGCATTAAAAATTAGCATAAATCGACCCTAGAAAAAGTTATTTCCCTCCCCCCTCTTTAATATCCGAAGAGGAGTGTTCGAAAATGGGGTGTTTCCTAACTTCCATTATTCAATTTGTTGAACACGGTGCACGGTTAATCGGTACGGTTTGCCCCGCCGCAACTGTTACAAGAAGTGCAGTTCTCGCGAGATTTGACCGCCCTATTGCAGTCGACAGAACAGATTTAGTAACACCCATTCTTATTGGATCGAGCCGACACGGGAAAACTTAAGCCGATTTTCTAGCGACAATTAAAACGTTCGACAGAGAATCGTGTTACATCTGCTCCGATTTTTATAACCTCTTTAAACGAATCTTTCACCATTTAAAATAATAATAAAAAAAATAAATTATATATTAAGTTATTTAGGCCTAAATTAAATAAACAAATATCTGAATTTGATCACTGGCCATTCTATGCTACAGATTAAAGTCCAAAGGGCCCTTTCTATATATCCAATAAGGTTAAATTAGTCCATACCTCTTGACTTACTGTCCTATAACGTTGTTAATTGTTTAAATTGTTTGGATATGTTATGGCATTAATGCCTTCGTAGCGGCTTATCTAAAGCATTATGTAGGCCTTTTGCATAGTCGAGTATTTACTAGAAAACTCGGCTTGTGAAGCGCGTTATTACGCGTAATTGTGTGCATTTTAATATATATTTGTATGTTAAACCTTAAACTGTTATATGCCTTAAATTCTTTAATCTGTTACATGCCTTAATTTAACGTTATGCCTTATCTGTTACACGCCATAATTTTTATTATGCTTTAATCGATTGTATGCCTATTATATGCCTTTATTTGTCAATTATATACCTAAATCTATAAGGTTTATAAAAGGCAGATGAAGGCATATTATATTATTATGTCTTATTGTTATAAGCCTTAACCTATTACATACTTAAACCTGTTAAATGCCTTGTTATATACCTCAACCTGTTGCATGCCTTAAGATATTAACCTGAACTCTTCATACAAGAACAAAGCTTGTATTTTTCTATATATTTACCACTTTCAAACATAATTCATCAGTATATGATTTAACACAGAAGGCATCAAACATAGCTTGGAATATGTGCGGTTTACTATGTTTACATGAATGTAACTCACAGATTTTACAACCCCTAGCAAAGTATCAGGCTCTACAGAGCTAGAATACCTTCACTAGCACATTCAACATAAAAAAATATCCACCTAAACACTCAAAAACACTCAAACACACACATTTTTTGCCTTCTTTCATCTGTAAGGGATGATGGAGGAAGCCAAACTTGACTTATTTGTAATGTAAAATAGATGAATATTATAGAATTTATCCATAAATCTTGAGTATTTCATGTGATTAAAATGTACCTAATAATTAATTATAGAGTTTCTCGTGTTTTCAGTTAAGTTCAGGACCCTTTTTTAACTGTATTTTTGGCAATTTAACAATTGATAAACATTAAATTGTATTTTGAGGAGCCAACAAATGGTGTTAGGTGGGAAAAAATGTATCCCATTTGCTTCGTTTCTAGGAAAATGGGGCTGAGGAGCGTGTGCGAGGGAGGGCGTGATTTTCTTTTCTGTTTTCTTCGTATGAATACACAAATTTTTGGCATAAATTTCGGTTAATTTCGTTATAAAATAATCAACTCCCCCAGTTTATAAAGTGAATCGATTGATATTTCGATGGTGTTGTTTTGAAAGAAACACTTCTTATCCCGACCACCTTCTGCAAGCAGAGAGTGACAGGACCCATCTGCAAGACCTCGGACGCCTCCGTCTTTCTAGGAATGAACAAAAACAAAAGTCATCAAGTCCGAGAGGGGGGTAGGAAATTTTGCCATCGTTGACGTCACACACACACAAAACAGCCTACGTCAAGGGACAAAGATCGGTCGGATCAAGTGGATCGTAACTTTATGGGGGGAATTTTTATTTGTCGAGTGAGGTAAATCCCAACACACACCAAAAAGACGCATCCTCTCGACGTCGTTACCCTTCAGGATTTTTTTTTATGGTTACATCCCATTGCTAGACTTGGTTTCGCGGTTTAAGTCACGTCTAGGTCAAAGGTCGCTGTAAAAAGACCAAAGGTAAGATCGTCTGATTTGCTGGCGATCGAGGAATGCGAGACTAAGGAGTGACCCTACTAATGAATCGGAATGCCAAACGAGCGGGAAAGAATTGTAGGGAATTTTCTGTCCAAATTCCCTCATCTGACAAATTACGTTTCGTTAGTGTTTGCGCCAGACACGCAACTAGAGAGAGAGAGAGAGAGAGAGAGAGAGAAAGAGCGTTTCAGACAGATAAATAAACACTGCCAAGCTTACACTAAACAAAACCAACTCTAAATACGTCATCGGAAGGAACGACTTGGCCTATCAAGTGGTCGAAGTTGGAGAATTTTTCGAGGAAAAAAATAAAGAAGAAGAAGAAGCAATTACTCGTTACCTGTGCATCGAACGGTTTCCTTTCTAAATCCACCATCTTAGAAAAGCAACGGATCACAAAATGAACGCTTGCATGACGGACATGTCAAGGCGAAAACTTTGGTTTATTCCAAGCGACGGTCTAGCAAAGGGGTGTTGGAGGGACAGCAACTAACTGCTTGCTCTGGTCATTCCATTTCGTTGTGTCGCCTCAGGCAGGGGTGGTGGTCAGTCCCGGAGGGACAGAAACTTTCTTCTTCTTCTTCTTCTTATTCCCTTTCTCGCTGTGTCATCCCCCCTTGGTAAAAATCTCGACGAGTGATATTGCGGAAGAAGTTACAAACTCGTCTCGCAGCACACCAACATACGTCGGACCCTGTTCGAATATTATTATTTGGCAGTTTTTTTTTATCCATATAAATTGAACTTAAGTAATTATTTCTAGAGCTGGGACCGCGTGTTGAAGTTCTAAAATTCGCTTCGTGACATCTGGAGCTGACGATTTTTATTTTTATTTTTAATTTTTTTACACTCATTCCATCATTGTTTAACGTATATTATCAGGTAAACAAACTAGT